GTTCCTTTTCTGATACTATGTCTGACAATATTCCACTACTATTGATAAGGTTTTCAGCGGCTCACCATTCTGAAGTGATCAGCCTCTCTTTCTTCCTAGTCGTTCTTAGTCTGGAAGATACACTGAAACCTGTCGCCCATGAGTAACCCTATTGGTATTTAAAATATCAGTGGCATAACTCCCAGCATTCCATCAATGCACAAGGTACCCCCAGTACAACAAACTGACAGACTCATAGCAACCTGAATTGTAAATCTTTACATGAGCAGAAAGCCTCATCTTTCCCCCACAGAACAGCTCAGAGGTTTGAACTTCTGACCTCCTGGTTCGTATGCTTATTCTACAGTGTGACCCAGACTCCATTACAGCAACTGTGTTTTTGTTGTTGTTGTTGTTAAGTGTGTTGAGTCAGTTCTGACCCATAGCGACCCTGTAGAGGGTTTCCAAAAGCAGATGGTGAGCTTGAACCGCCAACCTTGCAGTTCAAATGGCTTTGCAGTCTGGTGCATTAATCCATAGCACCTAAAATTTTCCTTTCAACTACTAATTAGAAAAAAGGAGGAAATAATAAGAAGGCTTCAAAAGTTCATGGAAAAAATGGAATTGAAAGATAATGGAATTTTCTCCACGAACTTCCTCAAGCCTGCTCATAAAGTATACAGGGGCAATTAAGATTAGTTAATAGGGGATTCTTCTAGGAAACTTGGATCAAAATGTTCAGGCACCATCCAGTTCTTCTGGATTCATGGCAAAGGAAGCAGTTATTTATAGCGATGTAGTTAATTTGGTGAGGTCTCAACAGCTGATCCTTGGAAACCCTATACAGAGCCACTTTGAATCAGAACCAACTTGATGGCACTTAACAACAACAACAACTTGTACAAGTTATCTTTTACGATGCCGAAAAAAGTTATTTGCAATGAATAGGTTACTGGTGATGTAAAATCCTATCATGTGATCTTGAGCATCATTTCTATCACCAAGGCCATGTTTTTCAACTACTGACTCTTCCTCTTTGTTTCCAACTTTTATATTCCAATCACCAGTAATAATCGATGCATCTTGATTGTATGTTTGATCATTAACAACCTGGGCTATGTAGATGACAAAATCTTGCTTGCTAGAAGCCAAGAGGACTTAAAATACTTATGGAGATTAAAGACTACAGCCTTCAGTATGGATTGCACCTCAATGTAAAGAAAACAAAAATCCTCACAACTGGAAAAATTAATAACATCATGATAAATGGAGAAAAGATTGAAGTTGCTGAAGACTTCAATTTACTTAGATCCACAATCAATACTCATGTAAGTTACATTTAAGAAATCAAGTGACGTACTGAATTAAGCATATCTGCTGCAAAAAAATTTTTTTAAATGTTAAAGAGCAAAGATGTGAGTTTGAAGACTAAGGTGTGCTTGATCCACCCCATGGTATTTTCAATTGTGTCATATGCATGTGAAAGCTGTACAATGAATAAGGAAGATTGTACACACAAAAAAAGTAATGTATTTGAATTATGGTGAATAATATTGAAAATACCATGGACTGCCAGAAAAACAAACAAATCTGTGTTGGGAGCAATATAGCCAGAATGATTCTGGGAGGCAAGGATGTTGAGACTTCATCTCTCATACTTCGGACATATTATGAAGACGGACCAGTCTCTGGAGAAAGATATCATGCTTGGTGAAGTGGAGGGTCAGAGAAAAAGAGGAAGACTCCTAGCCAGATGGATTGGCACCATGACAGCAACAATGGGGTCATGTATAACAACAATTGCAAGGATGGTGTAGAGCCGGGCAATGTTTTGTTCTTTTGTACATAGTGTTACTATGAGTTGGAACTGACTCAATGGCATTTAACAATAGCAGCAGCAGGAGTAGCAACAATAACAACTTATTGACAGAAATTGTACCAATCACTTGTGCACATTTACCCTTATTCAATTCAATATTTCCATAACCACTAATCCCCCTCCCTCTCACTGTGGCAACCAGTAATAAACTTAGGTCTCTATCGAAAAAAAAAAGATTGAAATATTTTAAAACAAGTTTTCCTTTTTTAATGCTAATAATGACAAAATGTTAGTGAGTCATAACATTTATTCCATGGCAATGTTGGGAAAATTTTTCTTTAGTCAAAACAGAAGACCAGTATTTTTATAAATCTTGTCTCCTGATGTGAATTACAAATTTACTATGACTAACATAACAAATCATTCATTTTCAACACCACTTCACACATACTGTATTAAATGATTCTCACAGAGAAATTCTCACCTTTAAGCATTACATTGCACTTACATCACTTAGACAAATGCACCAAGAATCACCTGAAGCCAAATTTCTTTCATAATGATCAGACGCCAGAGTAGTGTAATAATGAAGAAGAGACCAAGAGCTGTATACTTGGTAGGTTGCTTTTCAAGGTTATCCTAATAGTAGTCAAAATTTACTATTACTTATCTCAAACCCCAGTTTGACTGGGAAGAAGTGACTCAGAACCAATGCACATGTAAACTAAGCATACTGTTGTTGTTGTTGTTGTTAAGTGCCGTCGAGTCGGTTCCGACCCATAGCGACCCTGTACAGGGTTTCCGAGGGTGTAAATCCTTACGGGAGTAGAAAGCCTCATCTTTCTCCCGCGGAGTGGCTGGTAGTTTCGAACAGCTGACCTTAAGGTTCGCAGCCCGATTCGTAACCACTACGCTACCTAGAGAAGTCATAAATTGTGTACAAAATACAGTAGTTTAACCTTAAAAACAGGACATGGAAGCATAAATGTACTTATTTTCCTTATAATAAGACATTTGTCTGTTTGGTTTCTTGATAATTAGCATCATACACAAGAAGGGTGAAAGTTGAATATCAGAAAAAAAATCGTATGATTTCAACCTCTCTTGTGGCACTGTAGGATAAGCAGTGGACTGCTAAGCGAAAGGTCAGCGGTTCAAACCTACCAGCTAGCTGCTCCTTGGAAACCCTACACAGCGTTGTTGCTATGAGTCAGAAGGTTGTAGCATCTGCATATCACAGGTTGTTAATGAGTCTTCCTTCAATCCTGATGCTGTGTTTTTCTTCATACAATCAAGCTTCTCTGATTATTTGCTCAGCATACAGACTGAATAAGCATGGTGAAAGAATACAACCCTGGCATACACCTTTCCTAATTTGAAACCAGTCTGTGTGTTCCCTTGGTCTGTTTGAACAATTGCCTCTTGGTCTATGTCCGGTTCCTCATGAGCATAATTAAGTGTTCTAGAATACTCATACTTCACAATGTTGTCCATAGCTTGTCATGATCCACACAATCAAAAGCCTTTGCCAGTCAATAAAGAACAGGTAAGCATTTTTCAGGTATTCTCTGCTTTAGCCAAGATCCATCTTACATCAGCAATGATATCCCTCATTCCAAGTCCTCTTCTGAACCCAGCTTGAAGTTCTGGAAGTTCTCTATTGTGTGGTTGTAGCTGTTTTTGGATTATCTTTAGTAAAATTTTACTCACATGGGATATCAATGATATCATCCGATGATTTCCACAAAATACAGATCTCTTCCAGTCAGTTGGCCAGGTAGCTGTCCTCGAAATTTCTTGACATAGATGAATGAGTGCCTCCAGTGCTGCATCAGTTTGTTGAAAGATTTCAATTTGTAATCAATCTATTTCCAGTGCCTTGTTCTTTGCCAGTGACTTTAATGCACTCTGGATTTCTTCCTTCAGAATCACTGGCTCTTAATCATATGTTAACTGTTGAAATGGCTGAGTATCAACCACTTCTTTTTGGTACAGTGACTCTGTGTATTCCTTCCATCTTCTTTGGATGTTTTCTGCATCATTCAATACTTTGCACACAGAACCCTTCAATACCATAAGTGGAGGTTTGAATTTTTTCTTCAGTTCCCTCAGCTTGAGAAATGCTGAGCGTGTTCTTCCCTTTTGGTTTTCTGACTCCAGATCTTCGCACATTTCATTATAATATTTGAGTTTATCTTCTCGAGCTGATCTTTGAAATTTTCTGTTCAGCTCTTGGACCTCCTCATTTTTAAGGGTTGGTGGTTCAAACCTACCCAGAGGTACCATAAAAGAAAAGCCTGACGATCTTTTTCTGTAAAGATGCTGCTTTTGTTATTAGGTGCTGTCGACCCTACACAGAATGAAACACTCACAGTGACCCTACACAGAATGAAACACTGTCCAGTCCTGCGCCAACCTCACAATCGTAGCTATGCTTGAGTCCGTTGCTACTAATTGCCACTATGCCAATCCATCTCATTTGGCGTCTTCCTTTTTACCTCCAACTCTCCATTCTATCAAGCATGATGCCCTTCTCCAGGGACTGGTCCCTCCTGTTCATATGTCCAAAGTATGAGAGGCGAAGTCTGGCTTCCAGGGAGCATTCTGATTGTACTTCTTCCAACATAGATTGGTTTGTTCTTTTGAAAGTCCACTGTACTTTTAATATTCTCCTCCAACTCTTAAGGGCCAGCAATGTGCTGATCTTTCAAAAAGAAACTATTCATGTGCATGTTTATATGTTAAATTCTAGTTTACATATATGTAGTTTATATATTATTTAAAAATAATTGATTATCAAGCAACCAAACATGCAAGGCATAAAAAATGACTTATTTTCAAATGTATACGCATAAAAATCAGGTGGTATGGTGAGCTAAGCTTTAGGTTGCTAACCACAAAATTTGGAAATTCTAATTCACTGCACAAAACAAAGAAAAGTTTTAAGTGAAAGTTCAAAACACTGGGGTTATCATAAATCCTAACAGTCACACCAATATAGACACATGCCAACTTACTGTTTTGGTTAATAAACAAGATAACCTGAATGTGTTTGGAGTTGGTCTTTATAATGTATGTTTAGACTTAATCACTATAGCCATTCTTGTCCACTTTTTAGGCTACTGGAAAACATAGTACTCACCAATATAAAGTAGTATGCATACAGCCCTGTACAATGGTGAATTATAAACATAGTACTCACCAATATAAAGTAGTATGCATACAGCCCTGTACAATGGTGAATTATAAACATTTTGTCACCAATCACTCTCCAATAAAAAATGATAAGCAACAAATCTGTAAGAAGAAAAAATTAGTTAGATATTACAAAGGCAGAAAGCTGCATTGTTATACAAATGTATTTAGCTTTTTTCTCTGACAAACTCATCCTTGTCTATGCTAAGCCCTCAGCAGTTTGTTCATACCTCTGCTAATCCAACCACCCACCTTTATCATTATACATCTTCGATAAAACTGTCACTCACTATGGGGGGTAAGAGGCATTAGTGGGTCAGTGGTAAATTCTCGCCTTCCATTTGGGAGATGCAGGTTTGATGATTATCAGGCAGTACACCTCATGTTTGGTTATCGTCAGTGGAGGCTTTCACGTTGTTATATTACTAACAGGTCTCAGGAGAGCTTCCAGACTAAGACTAGGAAGAAAGACCTGCCAATCTACTTCCAAAAAAAGCTGTTGATGAAACCCCTATGGATCACAAAGTCCCGTCCTGTTGTTAATGAAGTCAACAATAACAACAACACCCACCACACGGGACCAAAAGAAAAAAAAGAAAAACAAAACTCTCAAACTCACTGATTCTGACTCATGACAACCCTATGTATTAGAAAGCAGAAATGAGCTCTGTGGGGTTTTCTTGTCTGCAATATTTATGGAAGCAGAATGCCTATCTTCCCTAGCATCACTGTGTGGGTTTGAACTGCCAACCTTTTGGCTAGCATCTGAGAACAAACTGTTTTTGTCACCCAAGAACTGTAAAGGGCCTATAACTAGCAAAAAATGCCAGGGCCTCTGTTGTCTGTGGCTTCACTGTGCTGCTGTGATATTCCTCAGTGAGAAAACAACAGGAAAAACATCCCAGGTTTTTCTACCACAACAAATTCTTTCCATCACTTCCCCTTTCTGTGAATCCTAAAAGGTGCTCTGGTAGCATAACGGTTACAAATCGCGCAGCTAACCTCAAGGTCAGCAGTTCAAAACTACCAGCTGTTCCGTGGGAGAAAGATGAGGCATTCTGCTCCTGTAAAGATCTGCAGCCTCGGAAACCTGTGCAGGGTCATTATGAGCCGGAACCGACTCCCCAGTACTTAACAACAACAACATGAATCCTAAAAGTTTTATCTTCAAATCAACAAACCAAAAGCATACACTGTGTGTTCTTTGCATAATTCCATGAGTATTTTTAAAAGAAGTAGATAGTAAACCACATATCACATACCAGAGCTGAGGTAGCCACAAGTAATAGAAAGATTCACATCCACAAGCGTTGATTTACCCCTATAAGTATTTTAAAAGAAAAAAAAATTTTTTTTTTCCCCTTTTTCTTTTCTTTTTTTTAGTATACGGGCTATAAATGACACTTACTTTTCTAAAATTAAGATTTCTATATAATGAAAAGACTTTCGATACATAGCTTCTCAAATGTTAAGTTGCCAATTTCAAAGATAAATCATAAAACATACAGTAACAGTTAAGAAGATGTGAAATGCTCCCGCAGTATCAATACTAGCAGAATCCTGATGTGGCACGCAGGTTAATGTGTTGGACTATAAGGTTGGTTTGAATCAGTGTCAGCAGTTCAAACTCACCAGCTGCTCTTAGGAAACCCTATAAAGGTAGGCTGTGAGTCGGAACTGACTCCACGGCACTTAACAACAACAATAGCAACCAGTACTGGTACTAGCAGGCATATACTGTTCTCAGGATCATATCAACCCATGCCCCCGCTAAGGAAAATGTATAGCCTTCCTGCCTAAAATGACTTGTTTAAATTAAGAAATCTCTGTAACCCATAATTTCCCTGAAGTTTACTCTAGGCCAAGCCCAGTCTCCAAAATTTCCTTGAGAATAAATAAAGTCCCAGAATTCATGGTAGGCTTCAATCTTCTAAAGTAAATCCATCATGAGATTCCCAAAATTAGGAGCAGACCTTTGGATGGTATCTATAAATCCCCGCTGCATTTTGTACCAAGCCCAGAATCTCCAAATTCAGGGGTGAAATGAAGGTTTTGTTTTACTTTTTTTCCCAGAATTTAGAAGACATCATCCATTCCATCAGTGAAATTTATAATTGACTCTAGAGAATATCTAAGGGCCCACAACCACTGACATGCCAATGAGTTATGTCACCTAAGGAATGGCTCAATAGGAATTCTAGATCCCATTCTAAGCCTTGTAGTGCATAAAATACTATGATAGCTATGTACTTCTAACTGCACAAATAATCATAATTTCTCATATACATTAGCCAAATGTTTTACTGATACAATCAAAAGATAAATGTTTATTAATGTGTTCTCATCTTCTCAAATGATTTGTTTGCATGCAGATCCAAAATACAGATGCTAGTTCTTTTTATTTCCTTATTCTAAATCCGAGACACAAATACCTTGAGACATTATCTAGTCCAGCCTCTCATTCTGAAGCAATATGGTATTGTAATCATTTTACTGAGGACAAGAGGAATTTGCCTATAATCATATCATTAGGAAATGATCTGAGCAAGACAGTTTAAGTTTGCAATTTCAACCTCTTTACTTTTTAATATTCTGCACTTTTGCCCTAATGCCCTTTGCTTCAAGAAACAAACAGAACTTACTAGTCCTGTTTCTGATTTATAATGTGAGCTACAATTGAAATATTTACATCCCAATAAAAACATGAGAAAGTAGATGTCATTTATAACAAAATAAAACTGTCAACAGCTAAAACTACAAATGGCAAGATTTAGTTAGAGTCATGTATTCTTTACAAACTTAGATCTGAAAAAGGACACATATAAGCTGAACTAGAATAAATTATGACATAAAAATACAAAACTATAACACAATAAAAGTTTGATAAGAAAAAAAGATAACTCTGTGTTGTAACATTTACTTCTCAAATGAACAGGTTCTTCTAAAAATCATATATGTGAAATAAAAATAGAATTTAAAAACCTGGTCAAAACTTAAACCCACTAAATTAATTCATTCTGAAAATTATTTTCCTGAAAATTAATCAGTATTGGAATAATATTGATGAAAAGGACTCAATATTGATAGATGAGAAACAGTATCCTTCCAGTCAAACCAGCAATGGTCAAATGTCTAGTCAAACTGTTCCTGCCAAAGCCCAACGTAGTGCTTTCTTAAAACACATCTCATCTCTCAGACTAAGCCAAACTAAGCCTTTCCTCTAGCACTAGAAATATATTTTGTAAAACTGCTACCACTGGAATGACATCTGAACATTTCAAAAGGAACCAATTACAAATCATCTTACTATTGGCAAACACCGTTATAAGTGCCTCAAATCTTCTCATGTGGAACTAAATTCTTCTCACATATCATTGTTGTTGTTATTAAGTACTGTCGAGTCAGTTCTGACTCATAGCAGCCCTGTATAGGGTTAAAAGAAGTGGCTAGTGAGTTTGAACCACCAACCTTGCTGTTCAAATTGACCCTATGGTTACGTGCTTATCCTACAGTGCCACACTAGGACCCAATAATTCTCATTTTTTAACTCTGTTATCAATTGATGGCTACAAATTTATGAATTTGAAAACCAATACTTAAGTAACTGTTAACCAAGCTGACTAACTTATCGCAATAATAACTCATATTTTTAAACTCAGAAATAGTTATAACTTGGTTTTATTCATGGGCATAGTAGAAATGTTTATATCATCACCTATTTTTTATAAAAATTGCAATGCCAAGTCAAAATGGTCCTCATTATTTGTATTCAAATCTAGAATAAATCATCTTAGGGCACTTTGATGAAATAAATCTCAAACACAGCATTTTCATCGAGCATGCATCATCACTGAGCTTTATGTTTTAGAATAAAGCATGTTCTAAAAGTAGGAATCAAATTGACTATGTTTGGAATAAACAGCTTACCAAAGTCGATCAGTTTTAGTAGCCTCATCAAAAAATAAAATATAAAGGCCAAAAACTCCAACCACTAAAGAATGGCATGTAGATACTATCCTGAAATGAAACAAAATGCATACAATTAGATTTTCTAATAAACTTTAACTTGTTCTGGCAAGGTATTTAACATTCTAGAGGCGTTTAACTATCCTAGCAGAATACATCTAAGAGTATAATACAGAATTATTATGTAGAAATCTAAGGGCCACACTTTACCTTGAAATCAACAGGGGGGTGGGGGGGAAAGCCCATGTCTGCAATTCCCAGCTAGAAAACTGAGGAGGACTCACTGCTTGGTGATGAACACTAAAGCAGAAGCATATGTAATCGTGCGGTTGATGCAGTTTTTAACACAGATGGCATTTGGCAAGCCCCACTACCCAGAGCCTCACTCTATCTCCAAGTGCATCACTGATGGTTGAGTCCCCTGCTCTTTAGGAAGTCAGCTAGGATGCCTCCAAATCTACTTGCCTTAATCATCTCCTTAAAACAGAATTCAGATGGATCATGAAACAGAAATGTATTCTCTTGGAGATTTCAGTTTTAAAAGTACATCCACATGCATTATTTCCCTTGATTTCTGTAACAAAGCCGCTAGAAAGCTAGGACAGCTATTATTATTCCTTCTTTAAAAGTATTATGAAAGCACTTATAAATAGAGGAATTGAGGTCTGTGTAAAGCTAATCCATTTTCAAAAGAAATACGCAAGTGAAAGCAAAATGTTCACAAGATCCAGACTCAGTTTTCTGTTACAAAAATAATAAGGTTTAGATGATTTTTTATGAAAAAAATCAGTTTCTGTGAACACATTAATACTCAATAATTTAAGGACTCAAATGATATCCAAATCCCATAAAGTGCCACCTAGAGAACTAGATACAGGGTACTGTGTATTTTTCCACACCGTGAAGTTTTTTTAATCCAGCAATTTAGGATTTCTCATATCTTGACTGAGTTTACAAATTATGAAGTTTCTTTCCTCTTCATTAGCATAAAAAATGGAAGGATTAGTAAAGCTTTCTCTGCAGAAATTACTAATGTACATACAGCAAATTTCTCTCTAAAATATGACCCTAAATCTTTTACAATAACTAAACCTATCAATCAAAATAAAGCTTACTGTTAGAAAGCCTCATCATGTAATAAGAAAAACCATTATCACTGATCTAATAAGTAATAAATATGCTCCTAAATAGATGAGTGTAAGCATATTAAATCAAATGTTATTTTAAATGCTCAAAGAATCTCACTAATGTAAAGGCATTGATAAAGAACCCTTTGTAATACGAAAGGATCATTTTAGAGTGTGAATAATTAACTCAATTTATGTAATTTACAAGTCTGGAATTTTCATGCCAAGCACACCTGTAGGAGTTGTTTCCAAGGAGCAGCTGGTAGCTTGAACTGCTGATCCTGTGGTTGCTTAGCAGTTCAGTGCTTATCCTACAGGATGATACTAGGACTCTTCCATCTAGTTTCACTTTTGTTTGTTTGTCAAGTGCCATCGAGTGGGTTCCAACTCATAAGAATCCTGTACAGGGTTTTTGAGGAGCAGCTGGTGGGTTTGAACCACCAACCTTGAAGTTCGCAGTGCAGTGCTTATCCTACAGTGCCACACCAGTTTTTCAGTCAGAGAAAAATGTAAACTCCTCGGTGATTAACTGAAACACTCCATCTTATCCTACAGCTACCTTTCTGCTGCGATTCAACAATTCCATAAGACGGAAAAACAATACAGTCTTACTAGCCAGTTTTTGTGTTCAATAACCTTAAGTCAAAAAGTTTCCTTTTAGAAGAAATCTAACACTTTGTTCCTAATAGTTAGGCCTCAAATTCTCTTTTCTGTTATATGATAAATGTTATGGATTATTAACCCTCAACTGATGGATATGGAATATAATACATAAGAACCAAACCAACGCATGGAGTCAATTCCAACTCTATAGGACTCCTGGTATGGCACTGTAGGATAAGCACTGGATTGCAAGGTCCAGTTGAACCACAAAATCGGTGGTTCAAACCCACCAGCTACTCCTTGGAAACTTTATACAGGGTTGCTGAGTCAGAACTGACTCGAAAGCACTTAACAACAAAAAGGACATAGTAGAACTGCTGCTTAGAGTTTCCAAGGCTGTAATATGGACCAAATAACCCATTCTAAGGAACAGCGGCAGATACCCAGTGCTTACAGACTATCCTGTGTTAAAAATCTCTATTTTGACACTTTTCTGCTAGTAAAAATTTCTAATTTTAGTCTTTAAAAAGAGATTCCTGGCAAAGGAAAATGTCAATCCCTTCATGTCTACAAAGCAGTAGCAAAATCCTACCTGTTCATGGTTGAAATGTGTCTCCCCAAAATATGTTTTGACTCCTAACCTCTATAACTGTGATTATAATCACATTTGTGAAATGGTTGTCTTTGTTAGACTACTAAGACTGGATTAGTACAGGGTGTATCTTGAGTTCATCTCTTTTGAGGTATAAAAGAGATTCCATAAGCAAGCAGAGCATAGACAGGGGAGGAGAGACGCCAAGCTACATGAAGATGGTCCAGGAGCAGAGCTCTGAAGAGACAAGGACTTGCCTTCAAGCCAACAGAGAGAAAGCCTTCCCCTAGAACTGGCACCCCAAATTTGGATTTCCAGCCTCCTAAACTGTGAGAAAACAAGTTTGTTAAAACCACCCAGTTGTGGTCCTTTTGTTATAACAGTACTAGACACTGATAAGGATAAACTATTTCAATTTTTTTCAAAGAACAGTAAAAAATAAATGTTTGTATTTTTAAAATAACACTGGTTTTCTAGGAAATAACTAGTGACCATTTTTAGAAGCGCAATTTAAAGTCAATGATTTAATCACTCACAAATAATCTGAGTATGACCAAAAGAAATGTTATACCTCAAATAAACAAAGAATTAAAATTCAGAACAGTAGAATTAAAAATTAGGAGCATTTCAACCTGTTGGAATTTTTAAAGCTATATAAAAGCCACTGGATAAATATAACTAAGAATTTTCTTAAAATATAGTATTATATTTTTATCTATAACCTATAAGTACATGTTTTATATTTGTGTTAAGTTTCTATTTTTATATATAATCCACAAGTACATATTAAAAAGATGTAAGGAATACACAGAGTTATTGTACTAAAGAATCAGTTGATGCTCAGTCAATTCAAGAGGTAGCATATGATCAAGAACTGACGGTTTTGAAGGAAGAAATCCAAGCTGCACTGAAGGTAATGACAAAAAAACAAGTTAGCTGGAGATAACTCAAAGACAGTTGTAGCAGAACATCGACAGAGATATGGCAGAAATTCAAGCAAGTTTCAAAAGATGACACAGAACAAGGAATATCATTGTTGATGGATGGAAAGATGTTTACTAGTGCATTATTGACTATGCAAAGGCATTTGAATGTATGGATCATAAGAAACTATGGATAACATTGAGAAGAATAGATATTCCAGAACACTTCATTGTGCTCTGGAAGAACTTGTAAACAAACCAAGAGACAGTCATTTGAAAAAACAAGGGTATACTGAATGCTTCAAAATCAGAAAAAGTGTACGTCACCATTTTTATGGTATATCCTTTCACCATACTTTTTCAATCGGTATGCTAAGCAAATAATCCCAGAAATTGGACTCTATGAAGAAGGAGGCATCAGAATTGAAGGTAGATAATCTGTGATATGCAGATGGCACAACCTTGCTTTCTAGAAGCAAAGAGGACTTGAAATATTTTCTGATGAAGATCAAAGACTACAGCCTTCAGTGCGGATTACACCCCAATGCAAAGAAAACAAAAACCCTAATAGCTAGACCAATAAACAGCATCATGATAAAAGGAGATACTCAAACATAATTCATGTGGTATGTACATAAATAGAATTATTACTCAGTCATAAAGAGAAATGAAGTCCTGGTACTCCAACATGAATAAACCTTGAAAATATTACACTGAGTGAAGTCACAAAAAATATTACATGACCCCACTTACATGAAATATCAAAAAAGCCCTGGTGGCATAGTTGAGTTATGAGTTGGGCTACTCACTGCAAGGTCAGCAGTTCGAATCTGCAGTTGCTCCACAGGTGAAAGGTGAGGCCTTTTGCTTCCATCAAGATTTAGTCTTGGAAACCCTGTATGAGGTTGCTAGAAGTTGGAACCTACTTGACAGCACAGAACTCCTGCCATCAGCATATGAAATATCAAGGAGCCCTGGTGGCACTGTGGGTTAGGCATTTGGCTGCTAACCTCAACCCCACGAGCTGCACCTCAAGAGAAAACATGAGGCTGTCTACTCTTGTACAGATTTACAATCTCAGAAGCCCTGCAGATGGTGGCTGAGAATTGGAATTGACTCAAAGGTTTTTAGGTTGGTTGGTTTGCTGGGGGGAGGAGCATATGAAATATCTAGAACAGGCAAGTATATCAAAGTTTATTAGTGGTTATCACAGGGAGCACGATGGAAAAGGAAAGGAAGAGGCAATGCTTAGGGGGCAGTAAGAGTCTGTGAAGAGTGCTGGAGAACTTCCAGAATGACTAATGATGATGTTATGGTTAAACAGCATGAGGAACATATTTAATAGACTGTGAAAATGGCAAATGTTTCATTTACCACAACTTAAAAAATAAAGACTGGATATCTGCAAAATAATTGGACTTAAACAAAAATGGGGGGGGGGGGGTAGGCCCTCAGGTTAAATATGAGCCTTCTCAAATACTTAGGCATTGGGTAGAAGTTCTTTAATTCTAAAAGACAATGTCAATGAAAGACAATTATAGCAATTTTAAAAGTTTGCTGATTTTGTTTTATAGTTAGCATTAACACAAACTAAATTACCACAAAAAAATATTCTCAGAGCTGCTACAATTCACTGAAGTTTGCAAATGCACGATGTGTGAGCACATGGAATGCTTTAATGTCAGTGAAGTAGTTAATTGTGTTTGAAACCTTGCGAGATGTTAATGAAACAAAGGCAAAAAAAAGAAATTGTGCACCCAGTTTATTTTAAACCCCCAACACATTTTTCTACATCCTTAGATAGGTGACCTTAGATTTTGTTAGTCCTCAAAAATACTCTTTTGGGATAATTTTAAATAGCTACTTTATGCCACAAAACTAGTATTAATAAGTTACATTTTTAAATGCTTTACCTTGAGTGCCATTCAATTTTCTTTTCGAAGCTGAGACTACTAAAAGCTGGAGAAATTTTTGCTGAAAACCAAGAACTTACGAAGTGGAAAAGAAGCTGAAAGACCACAAAGCTGGTAAAAATAGTGCTTAGTTTAGTGATGGGATCCATATTTCTTCAACCTGTAAAAAAGAAATGATGGGTGTAAACTGTTGTCTCATGATAAATTCACATTAAAAATCTCTTAAAATTTAAGGAGTATCTAGAGGTTTATTTTGTAATTGTTTTTTAAATTTAGTACAAACGTAAGAAGAACCCAAAGAAACTATAAGAATATAAGCCTTTTGTGTTTCCATGTCTTCATCAGCAATTTGTCATGATTCTTACATTTGTATTTTACTTTAGGGGAGGACTTATTATTATAAAGATCTCAATGCTTTAAATTTTGAAGACAACTTTAACATCATGAGATTCAAAATCATCTAAGTCTTAGAGTTAACATTAAGAGGAAAACTGAAGTACTATACTGAAGATATCCTTTTATTAACCTTTAATAATTAAATTTAGGAAAAATCACTTGATTTCTCTTTGCCTCAATTTCCTTATATGAAAAAATGAAAGTTGGATAGATAATTTCTAAGGTGTAACTAAGCTAAAGTTGTTAGAGAAAAACATTACCTGGTGAAATCAAAACAAGCAATATTACCAAATAAAAAGTAATTGTACACAGGGCCAAATAATATTAAGAACAAAATTCAAATCATAAGAATAACACAGTCCTAGAAAAGAACCATACCATTGTTACTATTTAAATTAATATTTAACTTTTAAAAAATATTCTGTAACCATACATGTTCTTAAACCAAAAATATTCCATGGTTTTTTAATCTCTTAAAAAATTGTTTTTATAAAAGAGCTTCAGGTGTTAAGAACACATTTAGAATAAAGAATATGCATACATCCACACTCAAAGCATATTTTCTATTATAACATTTGGTTCTTAAAAACCTTAAGGAACATTAAAAAACAAACAAAACAAAAACCACTAAATCATTTGCTCATATCCAGCAAATGGTGAATTTCTATGGCTCCATCTTTGATAGAGCAGACTCTTAAATGAAAAGAAAATGAATCAATACACATTTCCAGCTGCCAAATGTGAAGAATTGACGCATTTAAGTTATGGTGTTGGAGAACAGTATTGAAGGTGCCATGAGCTGTCAAAAGAACCAATAAATCCGTTTTGGAAGAAGTGCAACCACAGGGCTCCTTAGAGGCCATGATGGCCAAACTTCGTCTCTCATACTTTGGACATATTGTCAGGAGGGAGCAGTCGCTGGAGAAGGATATCATGTTTGATAAGTTGGAGGGTCAGAGAAAAAGAGGAAAACCCCCAATGAGATGGACTGACCAAGTGGCAGCATCGAAGGACTCAAGCATGGCAACAGTAGTGAGGTTGGCCCAGGATTGGGTAGTGTTTCGTTCTGCTGTGCATAAGGTCGCTATAGGTCGGTACCAACTCAACAACAATGTGAAGAAATAAAGTCACCTACTGAAGCCTACTAAAGAAAAGCCAAGTCATTGACCACACCAGTAATATCCCCACTTCATTCCCTTCCAACCAGGATCTCAAAATAAGAATCTGTCTCCCACAGGGCCCCTTCCAACAGAATTCACATGTCTATAATGAATTCCTTCCTTCCTCATGTTGGGTTGTGTGTGTGTGCTCAGTAAAAAAAAAAAAAAAGAAGAAGGTATCACAATTCTTTGTATTGGAACTCCATTAATTATAATGCTCGTTTGCTTTCTTTTTTAATTCAACACATGTTGATTGAGTATTAAAATGTTAAATTCTGGGTCTTTTAGCCTAAGCTTAATATTAAACAAAAACACATAAAATTTTGTACATAAATATCATTAAAATCCACTAACTACATTTCTAAGATTATGATGCATAAATGTTTTTCTAAAATTAAAGCAAATAGGAGTTCAGAGACAGGGTCAAGGTGGGAAGAGAGTAGATAAATGAAGAAAATAAAACCAGTAATCAGGACAGAGTGGGGAGAATATATTCTAAACTGTAGGGCGGTTTCTCTGAAGGGTTTTATCTGCTCTCTGCTGTTCCTTAAGTGGGCCTGGGCATAGGCCACTAATTTATTTTCACTAAAATGTGTATGATGAATAATCTTTCATAAACGTTTGCTACAAGTTATTCTGTAAATCAATGTATATATTACATTATGCAGATTACAATAATGACATAAATAAAATGTATATGTATTTTGAATGGAAAACTGATTCACTCTCTAAGCCTTAACCAAATTCACAACAAAACATTTATAAATAGGTATCAAGCAGGCATTTTATGAACTGCTAATTTAACAAATTCAGTAAAAGGCATACAATCCATTTACCACTAAGATATTTATCATTTCCCCAAAAAACAGTTTTTATTGTCTTTGTTATGTTGAAGGTTTTATGTTTTCATATATATATATATAAAATGTTGAGTCTCCCTTTACAAAAATGTTTAATTTAAAACTACATAAAGAAAATCAAAACAATAATGAGCTATCATCTCACACCAGCAAAAGATCAAAAAAGCAGAGGACAATAAAGGCTGGCAAAGATATGGAGAGACTGGGACGCTGCTGCATTGCTGGTGGGAAACCTCTCTGGAAAGCAATATGGTGCTTCCTCAGAAGGTTGGAAGTAGAAATACCTTATGATCCAGCAATCCCTCTACTTGGTATTTACCCACAAGAAATATGAGCCATAACATGAGCAGATATATGTACATCAATGTTCATAGCAGCACTATTTACAATAGCAAAAAGATGGAGACAGTCTAAGTGTCCATCAATGGAAAAATGGATAAACAAACTGTGGTACATACACACAATGGAATATTATGCTACCTTGAAGAATAACAAGGAAGCTATAAGTTATTACATAACATGGATGAACCTTAAGGACATTATGTCGAGTGAAATTAGTCAGTCGCAAAAGGAGAAATACTGCATAGGACCACTACTGTAAAAGACTAAGAACAAGAACCCATACTAAATGGGGGGAGGGAAATTCATTGCTGGTTATCGGGAAGTGGTGGGGGGGTGAGGGGAGGGAGCAAAAGGTGAAGCACAGGGCAGGCAACAGACACAGGATACTTTGGGTGCTAGGAAGGGGATGCAATACACAAGAAGGGGTAGGGGAATGGAAGAACAAAGCAGATGGGAAAATAATTAGGCAGATTTGCATGGGATAAGCGAGACAGAGGTAAATAATGATGTACGCACAACCTTGGAACAACAGGGCTCTGGGATACAGGGATTGAGACATGGTTGGAATGGGCAAAAGGGGGGAAATAATGTTAAGATGCTTAGATGTCTTTTGAATCTTGGTTTCCCTGGCATACCATTATAAAATAGACACTTGAGGGGGGCAGAAGGAATAGCCAGAAATATCACCATAGAAACGTTGTAAGTCCCTCTGCTGCCTATAACTGATTGGAATAGCTACAACATACCCAGTGAAGGAGGCTTCCTGTGGAGCCTCTGCTTTACGTGAGACCGTAGGTGGAATCCTGAACCTGATGACCCTCACCCAGAATCTTCTGAGGTGGGAAATTTTCACTTGAAAGGACAAGCAGAGCAGCCTGGAGCAACTAGAAGAATACAAGATACCTCTTGAAAGAAAGACCAACAGGAAAAAT